TGGCATCTCCGGGGGCCTTGCAGGTGATGACTAATGGGACCCCCTTGATAACCACCCCAGATGGGGGATCCACGCTCAGCACCGGCAAGGGCAGGGGATCTGAGGGGAGGAGAAAGTGGATGGGTCAGCAGGAGATCCAGATTGGGGAAACTGGTAAAAGGTCCACTATACTGTATAATGGGCACTAGGGGCAGCAGAGGGTGGGGGTGGGGGAGGGGCGGCTATACTGTATAATGGGCACTAGGGGGCAGCAGAGGGTGGATTGGGGAAGGGGTGGCTATACTGTATAATGGGCACTAGGGGCAGCAGGGGGTGGGGGTGGGGAAGGGGGCTATACACTATGATGGGCACTAGGGGGCAGCAGAGGGTGGGTTGGGGAAGGGGCGGCTATACTGTATATTGGGCACTAGGGGCAGCAGGGGGTGAGGGTGGGGAAGGGGCGGCTATACTATATAATGGACACTAGGGGGAGCAGAGGGTGGGGGCGGGGAAGGGGTGGTTATTCGGTATAATGGGCACTAGGGGTGTGGGAAGGGAAGGTGCGGCTCTACTTTATAAAAGCCACTATGAGACAGCATAAGGAATGGTACTTGAATTGGGGGGCCTTCTCCTTCAAAAGGCAGCTGAGTATGTGCACAGGTGCCCATGTGTGTCTCTTTGCTCCATCTATCAGGAAGTACTGAATATCTCTTGAATTGAATTTGAGCCTCTAGGGTATCCTCACCCTTCACGGTGACGTTCACAGGCCAGCTCCTGGGGGATGGGACCCACTTCCCATTCACGTTCTCCTCGTACCCGCAGGTGAATTCCCCGGCGCTGTTGGGACCAGCCCGTGGGATGCTGAGCACAGAGACATTCCTAGAGCTGGTGCTAGACTCCTTGATGCTGATCTCAGACCCCGCATCCCCGGGGACAATCTTTGCTCCGTCTTTGTAGAAGTGAAACCTCCATTCGCTGGCATCCCCGGGGGCTGTGCAGGTGATGAGCAGGGGGAGCCCTTCGTTCACCACTCCTGATGGGGGATCCATGCTCAGCACCGGCCGTGGAGGGGGATCTGAGGGGAGCAGCAACAAGGAGAGGTTAGCAGGGGAACCACAGTGCTGAGTGTGGGAAAGCAGTGGCTATACTGTATAATGGGCACTGGGGCAGCATTGGGTGGAGGCGGGGAGGGAAGGCTCTACTGCATATGGGTAGTAGGGGCAGCAGAGGATGGGGTTGGGGAAGGAGCGGTTATACTGTATAATGGGCACTAGGGGGCAGCAGAGGGTGGGAGTGGGGAAGGGGCGGCTGTACTGTACAATGGGCACTGGGGGCAGCAGAAGGCGAGGGTTGGGGAAGGGGTGGCCATGCTGGGTGGTAGTGTTTGAGAGCTGAATGCTTTGTTGCCTTACTGAGTTGTTGGTTGCTCTCTTTGTGTGTGTGTGTGTGTGTGTGTGTGTGTGTGTGTGTGTGTGTATCCATGCTGTAGGAAGTGGTGATTGTATGTAGGGGTGGATTTTATTCTCTAGGGCAACCTCACCTTTCAAGGTAACAGTCACAGCGTGGCTCTTGGTGGACATGATCCATCTCCCACTCTCTTTCTCCTCATACCGGCAGGTGTATTCCCCGGTGCTGTTGGTGTCAACCTGTGGGATGCTGAGCTCAGAGACTGTCATTGAGCCGGTCCTGGGCTCCACGGTGCTGATCTCAGACCCAACATCCCCAGGGACGATCTTGGCTCCATCCTGGTAGAAGTGAAACCTCAGCTGTCTGGCGTTCCCGGGGGCCGTGCAGGTGATGAGCAGGGGGTGCCCTTCGCTCACCACTCCAGATGGGGGATCCACACTCAGCGTTGGCTTGGGAGGCGGGTCTGAAGGGGGCAGCAAAGGGTGGGGGTCAGCCAGGGCAGGAGATGGAGGAAAGTGGAAATGTGGTTCAGAGAATGGAATGGATGCATCTTCCCTCCCTCCAGGACTTTGGACAAGTTGTTGGAGCTGGAATTGGGAATTCCTTCCCAAAAAGCTGCCCTGGGGTGTTGCTAGCCATTGGGTTACTGTTTTGGGCAGCCATGCTCCTGGAACCCTATGGGTCTTGGTTTTCATTGGACAACCATACTGGTGGCCATGTTGGCAGTTATGTTTGGGCAATTAGGCTCTTTTCAGTTGGGTAGGAATGTTGGATTGCCATGTTGGCAGTTGAAAAGCTATGTTGGGTGGCTATTTTAGTAGTTGGGCGGTAACTTGGGTGACCATATTGTTGCCAGTTGGGCAGCCATGTTTATTTTGTCGAGTGTGAGCAGCCATTTTGGATGGGCATGTTAGTATTTGGGCTGCCATATTGGGCAGCAAAGTTGTTGCCAGTTGACTGGCCGTATTTACTGGCCATTTTGCTGAGTGTGAGGATGGGCATGTTTGCCTGCTAGTGGGCAGCCATACTGTTGCCAGTCATACAGCCATGTTGGGTGGCCATGATTTGGGAGTGAAGGGCTGGGAAATAACCCATGGCAGCTAAACCATGGCATAGATTACCTGCTCCTGACAGACAATGGAGCAGACAGACCCTCCTCCATAACGGCATGACTTTGACAGTCATTGACCTTCAAAAGATAAGTGTGTGTGTTGAATGTATAAAAGCATTCACAACAACAGTTGGAGGGCTGGGAGCCCCTAATGGAGAAGGAGGTCTCTTGATATTTAAATAGCTACATTGTGGTGTACAGAGATAGATAGAGGGGGGGAGGGTATGGAGAGAAGGAGAGAGAGACAGAGAGAGCGTATGGGGATGGATAGATAAATAGATACAGAAACTCTTCGCTTAACGTTGTAGTTATGTAACTGAAAAGTGCTTCTTTAAATGAAAAGATGTTAAGCGAATCCAGTTTCCCCATAAGAATTAATGTAAATAAGGGGGGTTAGGTTCCAGGGAAATTTATTTTGCCAGACAAAAGAATATATATATATATATATACACACACACACAGTATAAGTGTTAAACAAACAATTGAATACTGTACACAGCTGTGATGATTGTGAAGCTTGGTTGAGGTGGTGGAGTCAGAGGGTGGGACATTTCCCAGGGAATGCCTTGCTGCTAAATGATGAACTAGCACTCAGCTGAGCCCTCAAGGGTTAACACATTGTTGTTAATGTGGCCTCACCCTCTACAAGGCAGCAGAGACGGAGGGAGGAGACACAATAGACCAGGAGTCGGCAACCTTTCGGAAGTGGGGTGCCGAGTCTTCATTTATTCACTCTGATTTAAGGTTTCGCGTGCCGGTCATACATGTTAACGTTTTTAGAAGGTCTCTTTCTCTAAGTCTATAATATAGAACTAAACTATTGTTGTATGTAAAGTAAATAAGGTTTTACTTTAGGCTGCCTACCCCTGCCATAGACGCATGGCAGTGGCTGCAAACATTCCCTGCGGAAACTGAATGTGATGATGAACCCAGGCTATCCTACTGGAGCGCACCACTCCCTCCACTTTCCAAAGTGCTGGGGTGTGTGTGTGTGCATGCGTGTGTGTGTGTGTGAGAGAGAGAGAGAGAGAGACACCGTGTGTGTGTGTGTGAGAGAGATGTGCATTGCCCCTTTAAGTACGCAGACCCCACTCTAAGTACATTGCCTTTTTAAGTAGATCAGCAAGTTGAGACAGCAACCACTGCCAGCAAGCTCCCTCTGTCCTGGGCCCTGTCGTGTTTCCCCCTCCTCTGTGGAGATGGGGTACAGGAGCGGGGGAAGGGGGACACCCTGACATCAGCACCCCTCTCCCCGCACTCCCTGCACAGCAGAGGGCAGGAGCAACTCACGGCAGCGGGGGGAGGGACACCTGAACTGCCCGGTAATTGATAGCCTGCTGGGGGCTGCCCCACAGAGAACTTAGGGGAGCTGATAAGGGGATTGCTGGTCCACCGTGGTTCCAATCCCCCACCAGCTCCAACAGCTGCTCTTCCTGCAAGCAAAGCAGGCGGCTGCCAAACAACGTTATAAGGGAGCATTGCGCAACTTTCAGTGAGCATATTCTCTAACAGATCAGCGATGTAACAACGTTAACCAGGGACAGTCAGTGAGGAGTTACTGTAGATCGGGGTCTCAAAGTCCCAGCCCACGGGCCATCTGCGGCCTGAGAACCTCCCCAATGTGGCTGGCGGGGCTCCAGCAATTTTGGGGCCGAGTCTCTCCCTTGGCCCCTCCTGCCGCCCCCAGGTGCTCCCCCCCCGCGTGTCCCCCGGGGAATTTAAAATGGCCTGGGGCCCCACCCACCGTCAGCAGTGTGGCAGAGCTGAGCGGTTTCTTGCGCACTCACTCCACATGTCTGCCGGACCCTCCCTGTGGCCCCGGGGCCAATGGGAAGCTGCGGGGGAGGTGCCTGGGGGCAGCAGCACACAGAGATCCCCAGGCCCACCCCGCCTTGGAGCCCCAGGTAAGCGCCGCACCCCCTGACCCCCTCCCAGAGCCTGCACCCCTCCCCCTCCTCCTGCACCCCCATCCCCTGCCCCAGCCCTGAGCCTGCACCCAGCACCCAAACTCCATCCCAGAGCCTGCACCCCAGATCCCCTCCCCCACCCTAACTCCCTCCCAGAGCCCAACCTCTCACCCCTTCTGCACCCAAACTCCCTCCCAGAGCCTGCACCCTGCACCCCTCCTGCACCCCAATCCCCTGCCCCTTCCCAGAGCCTCTACCCAAACTCCCTCCCAGAGCCCAAACTCTCACCCCTTCTACACCCAAACTCCCTCCCAGAGCCTTAGGCAGGTGGGGGCGGAGTTTTGGGCGGCATGAGTGACATTATTGGCCCGCTGGGAGGATTTGAGGACAGGCATTGGCCCTAAGGTAAATGGAGTTTGAGACCCCTGCTGTAGATAGGTGACAAAGTCAGGCTGGACGGCTGCAGGAGGGGCTGGGAAAACAGGTATGTTAGCCCTAGAATGCTAAAGGCCCTTCTTCCTACAAGCTGGAAAGGGGATACTTCAGGTCAATTAGGGACACCCGAGTCCAAATAAGGGCTGCCTGAAACCTGTTAAAACCTCTCTCCGGGGAGAAGACAAACTGCTGCAAGGCTGGTGGCGGCAGGGAGATCGGCTTCTCCAGTGTGAGAGACTGCGCCCCACCCCATAGGGGAGACACCCAAACCCAGTGCCTGTTTAGGGGAAGGACTGACACCCTGGGGCCAGGGACAGGACAACACCTACCACAGCGAGGGGGCCAGGGAAAGGTATTTCCCCTTTTGCTTCCATGCGTTAGAGACTTGTTTCCCTTTGTCTGGCAGAGGAGCACTCCTCAGGCTGGCCCCGAGGCCTACCGGGAAGGCTCTGAGAAACAAACCCTGAAGAGTGAAGACAGACGCGCCCCAGAGTGGGGCTGATTTATGCTAGGCCCTGTCCCTGCCAGAGGAGGGAGCACTAAGTCTGGCAAGGCAAAAGGGGTGCCTTGCCACAATAGATTGTTAGATAGATAGATAGGGATAGATAGATAGACAGACAGACCTCACCTTTGACTCTGATGCTGATGCGGTTGCTCTCATAGGACTGGACGAAACGACCAGTCTTGCCCGTGTAATAGTTACAGCTGTACAAACCCGCATTCCCCGGCTCCGTGATGTTGAGGTTGTAGGTGTGTTTCCACCCGGAGGACATCCTGGCTGAAACAGCCCATCCCCTATTGCTGTAGTATTGGAATACCGACACCTGATCCCTCGCAGGGGGAGCAGAGCATGTGAGGCCCACGGTGTCTCCAAGCAGGTATTCAACCTTCTGGGGATGCACAGAGAAGGCTGGGGCTGGGTGTTTAGCTGGGGAACCAAGGTTTCATTAGCACCAACTCATAACCACACAGACCCGGCCACAAATAGAAACCCTCACATTTGCCCTGCACCCACCCCTCCAACATGGGAAGGATCAGCTGGAGGCTCTGGTATCACAGCCCTTCTCTTAGGGCTTTGGCTTCTGGAGTCATGGGATTCAAGCAGAATCTCAGCGTTGGTTATAAACAGTCAGCTTCCAGCAGTTGTGGTGAAGGAGGAAATCTCAAGGTGGTAACTTGAGTGTGACCTTCCTGAGTCTGCCCAGAGCCTGAGCCCCTCGCTGTGAGAAGGGGCAGCTGCCCTGCGTGTGACAGGGCTGAGGTGAACACTGCACAATCTCTCCCCCTTGGGAGATTGGAGGGGGGCCATCCCTGCATCAGCTCCCCTCAGGGTTGCCCCATGACGTGAAGGGGTACAAGAGAAAGAGGAGTTGGGAACTCCAGGGAGATGTGGGGTCAGGCCATTTCCTCTCTGAGCGGAAGCGTTCACAATGTGCAGTTTCATCCACCAGGGAAAAGTGCTGGCTCAGCTGTTCCCAAAACTGAGCTTATCATCATTAGCCCTGAGTTCCTCTCCACCCACGTACACACAACCCTCCCCCTGCCAATGTATGGCTCCCTCCCCTGCAGAGGGAAGAGGGGCACTTGTCTTTCGTAGCTTCTCTGCTGGGACCTGAGACCCACCCAACTCATCTCACCCGCTCTGGGATGGGAACGGTGTTAGGTCAGAATGAACTGGGGCTGGCCAGGCATAAGGAGCAAAGAGGGAGTTGGAGACCTCCGAACTCAGATACCCCCCACCTGCACTTCCACATCCCACAGCTTCAATGGGGGGAAATACCCCACCCCGGCTCCCAAGACAATCCCACCCCCAGCAGGGGCATCTCAGCGAGGACAGGAATCAGCATTACCTGCAAGGAACACCGGCCGGGGAAGGAGGGAGGCTGAAAGAGAGAGAAGAGTTGATGAGACCTCCAAGTACACACGAGATGGGATGCTGGGGAGAATGGGGGAGGTGGGTAACAGGAGAAGACAGACAGACAGGCAGACAGAAAGGGACATCACTCACCCAGCACGAGCAGAAGGAGAGTTAGCACCATGCTGAACTGGTCCCTCTGGGGCTGGGAGCTGGGTTCTGAGCTCAGCCACCAGCCGGGTCTCCCTCCAGAAGGGTGACTGACCCTTCTGCTTTGTCCGTCCCACGAGATGGACAATCCCATGACAGGATGCGTTGCTCATCCCTCGGACCTCCCTCCCTCCCTCCCATGATCTCTGAGAAGTCACGGGCTCCCACCCACCACAGGAAATCCTGGAGCAACCACAGTCTCGGGCTCTTCCCCTCCACAGCCCAACTATTCGCCTCCATGGCCACAAATGCCACTGGCCCTTGTTCTGTGGACCATCCACACACCTTTTCCTGCTGCCCCCTCTCAGTTCGGAGCTCCTGTGCTTCTATTTCCCGCTCTGTGATCCAGCAAGGGTCCCTGCACTAGGCTCCCAGCTCCTCAGCCGTCACCTCTCTTGGGTGGAGACGCACATCTCTCACCCTCCTGTGTGGGGATTTTCCTGGCTGCAAAGTCTCCTGCCTTCACTGGGACTTCTCCGGCAAGTCCCTCCGTCTATTCCGGTTTGCTTTGCCTTCCCCTCAGAGTCTATAAACAACACAATTGCTTGTGGTTTCCAGTGACCACACAGCACTTTCTAACCAAGCCCACTGAGTCCTGAGGGGGAAGCACTACGGGGGAAACATATCAAAGAAAGAAAAGAACCTCCACACATGCTAATAGGCTGACTGGAGACCAACCCACCCACCCCCACCCTGGCTCTGGCCAGTGTCAGTCTTTCCAGCCCTCAGATCCTTGGACTGGCCTCTCTGCTGGGACCTGGATTGGGGCCCTCCTTGGACTGGAGCTCCTCTTCGTTAGCTGGGGCAGAACCAACTAAGAACCCGAGCCTGTTGAAAACAAGGCTATTTATCCACTGTCCTTTCTTTGTAGGCTCATCTTGGGAGAATCCAGTTTGAACCAATATTTGGGAGCATCTCCTGGGCGGGGGGTGTTAATGTCTCTGGAGTTGTTACAACCTGTTCTTAGTTCCTGGGCGAGCTGTGGTTACCCCTCCCACCATGGGACTACCCACAGTGATAGCTCCCAGAAATAGAGCAGGAAAATGTCCCATTTCCTTCTCCGCAGCGCCCAGGCCCCTTACCAGTAATGATCCGGCCCAGATCAGAAGACATCAGGAGATGGATGTGGAAGAAAATTAAATCCTCACTCTCAGGTTGGAAGCAACAAAATCAGACACAGCTTTAATCAGGACATGCAATTGCAAGGGAAGAACACAGCTGACAGAGAGCAGCTCTGCCTCAGTTTCTTCAAAGTACAAGCAATATCACACAAGCATTTATACATTTTAGTGGCATGCATTAATTACAAACATCTGCAGTTTGTTTATGTTATGTCCTGCCCATTCCTGTATTTTCTCAAGTCTGTTCTCAAAACATCGCTATCTCAAGGCTGGGTCATGCTGACTCTACTCTGCTATCTTCCCACCCGCTTCTGACGTGAGCCCTGCTTCTACAGGTCCCGCGATATTAAGCTAAGACTTAGCATGACAGTTGCTCTGTTTCTTACAACTGAGAGGCCTATATTTAAACTCTTTAACCCTGTTTCCACATGGAGAATTGACCTCTTCCTTTAGGAGTGTGTTCTAATGTCTGATCTCCCTAAGCGGTGCCTTATTTCCAATTTGTATTTATCTGGTTTCAGCTATTTAGAAAAGCTGGACAAGCACAAGTCCATGGGGCCGGATGCGCTGCATCCGAGGGTGCTAAAGGAGTTGGCGGATGTGATTGCAGAGCCATTGGCCATTATCTTTGAAAACTCATGGCAATCGGGGGAGGTCCCAGATGACTGGAAAAAGGCTAATGTAGTGCCCATCTTTAAAAAAGGGAAGAAGGAGGATCCGGGGAACTACAGGCCAGTCAGCCTCACCACAGTCCCTGGAAAAATCATGGAGCAGGTCCTCAAGGAATCAATTCTGAAGCACTTAGAGGAGAGGAAAGTGATCAGCCTAACTTAATTGCCTTCTATGATGAGATAACTGGGTCTGTGGATGAGGGGAAAGCAGTGGACATGTTATTCCTTGACTTTAGCAAAGCTTTTGATACTGTCTCCCACAGTATTCTTGCCAGCAAGTTAAAGAAATATGGGCTGGATGAATGGACTATAAGATGGATAGAAAGCTGGCCAAATCATCGGGCTCAACTGGTAGTGATCAATGGCTCCATGTCTAGTTGGCAGCCGGTATCAAGCGGAGTGCCCCAAGGGTCGGTCCTGGGGCTGGTTTTGTTCAATATCTTCATTAATGATCTGGAGGATGGCGTGGACTGCACTCTCAGCAAGTTTGCAGATGACACTAAACTGGGAGGAGTGGTAGATACGCTGGAGGGTAGGGATCGGATACAGAGGGACCTAGACAAATTAGAGGATTGGGCCAAAAGAAATCTGATGAGGTTCAACAAGGACAAGTGCAGAGTCCTGCACTTAGGACAGAAGAATCCCATGCACTGCTACAGACTAGGGACCGAGTGGCTAGGCAGCAGTTCTGCAGAAAAGGACCTAGGGTTACAGTGGATCAGAAGCTGGATATGAGTCAACAGTGTGCCCTTGTTGCCAAGAAAGCTAACGGCATTTTGGGCTGTATAAATAGGAGCATTGCCAGCAGATTGAGGGACATGATCATTCCCCTCTATTCGGCATTGGTGAGGCCTCATCTGGAGTACTGTGTCCAGTTTTGGGCCCCACACTACAAGAAGGATGTGGAAAAATTGGAAAGAGTCCAGCGGAGGGCAACAAAAATTATTAGGGGGATGGAGCACATGACTTATGAGGAGAGGCTGAGGGAACTGGGATTGTTTAGTCTCCAGAAGAGAAGAATGAGGGGGGATTTGATAGCTGCTTTCAACTACCTGAAAGGGGGTTCCAAAGGGGATGGATCTAGTCTGTTCTCAGTGGTAGCAGATGACAGAACAAGGAGTAATGGTCTCAAGTTGCAGTGGGGGAGGTCTAGGTTGGATATTAGGAAAAAAACATTTCACTAGGAGGGTGGTGAAGCACTGGAATGGGTTACCTAGGAAGGTGGTGGAATCTCCTTCCTTAGAAGTTTTTAAGGTCAGGCTTGACAAAGCCCTGGCTGGGATGATTTAGTTGGGGATTGGTCCTGCTTTGAGCTGGGGGTTGGACTAGATGACCCCCTGAGGTCCCTTCCAACCCTGATATTCTATGATTCCATGATTCCAGCTGTTGTTTCTTTCCCCTGTAGATTAAAGAGCCCTTTAGTAGCCAGTATTTTCTCCCAGTGAATGTCCTCATGCATCCCTATCCATCACCTTTCTCTCTTATTGATAAGATAGAGATTGAATCCCCTGCTCTAACCACCAGACCTCACTCCCTTCCCAGAGTTGTCTATAGAAGCCAAGAGTCCTCACACCCAGCCCCTCTGCTCTAACCCACTAGAACCCACTCCCCACCCACAGCCAGGATTAGAACCCAGGAGTCCTGGCTCCCAGACCCCCTGCTTTAACCCACTAGACCCCATTGTTACATCCAGACCACTGTGGGGTTGAGTCTCCCCTGCCTTGCAACCTCAGGTGCCATACAATGCCTTGCTGAAGTACTCCCACCAGGCTCGCTCACAAACCACCTTCCAGCATGCAAGCCACACTCTATCTCATCAGCCTGGGTTATACTGGCAGGGTGACCCCAGCACATCCCCAGTCCCAGATCTTCCCCCAGAAATGAATGTTTTGTCCTGCCCAGGATTAGATAAAACAGTAAAACATGATTATTAACTACAATGAGACAAATTTCAAGAGACTATGAGCAATGAAGCATCAAAGTCAGAAATTGTTCCAAGAAAAATGAAGATAAAATGCTTCCTAGAATCTGCTTAAGAAACTACTGGAGTTGCAAAACAAACTTTCTCACCCTGTGCTCCAGCAGATGACATCAGGACCCCCTCCCCCAGAGTCCAACAGCTGTTTCCTTTGTCTTCTCAGATCCAGACAATGAGGTGGACAGGGAGAGAGAGAGAGAAGTGTCCTGGGGTGT